AGCGCAGATAGAAGACTATCGAGTCTAGATTCCACTCGTGCAATTCTTGTGTTTGAAGAACCCTTCCTGCGCATTCGGACCGATAACGGGGGTCGGCATTCCTTGCCCAGACGATCGCATCTGTCATCAGTCAGCATCATGCACTTTCACACGTCTCAGCCCTGAAGCCAGAGCCTATGGTTGCAGACCTTTCACACCGGTCACCAGTCGCCAATAGTAGGCATTTGCATTTGGCACGAGCGCAATTGATGCATGCTTGGCCGTATGGGGCGGGCGTTGTCTTTCGGAGTCTCCTCGCCTCCGTCCGACGGGATTCGGGGTTGGGCATTACGATACAGTGGATTATTGATGGTTGAATAGAAGATGAAGTACATATGCACGCTGAGTTACAAATTTCAAGTCCAGATGGACGACCGGATTTCAGCGAAGATTCTGGACCGGGATTGAAGTTAATTCACGTCCAACTCCGACCTGCTGACTCATCACACCGTGATCTTGTTGATACCTTCATCCCCTCGTCGCTGGTGATAAACTGGAGATCTTCACTTTTGGTAATTCATTCATATTGTTATTACTAAAGTCTCGTTCATTTCGCTCTCCTGCACCGAATCTGGCGGTGGTATTCACCGTGAAGGTCCTTTGTCGCCACTGGAAAGCCGTCGGGTTTCGCAATCCCGATCTCCGATTCAGCCATGGGAAGCAATGTGTATATAGAGAGAGCAAGAGATTCACGTTGTCCTCCTCACTGGAGTATAGCATTTTCGTTTACCATATTCATACACAGCCGGAATTGAGCTAATAACAGACCGTCTTCCATACTCAAAAGACAAGCTTAGCTACAAGTCAAGCCCTTGGTACACCAACGACTCCATGTCGCTCCACAGCCCCAGCACTTGTGCATCTGCGAATGGCAGGATCTGTGTGCATACCATTCCTGCAATTCCCTTGGTTCTGTCACACCACCACCAAAGATTAGGAAGTCCAGCCCAATGACCAGTCTGCTCCGAACGACCAGTGTTCCCTCCAGTAAGCATACAGGTTAGTCCCCAGCCTTGAGGAGTGTCGGATGGATACAGATGAGCGATGCGGTTCGTGAGGTCTGCTTTGGCGGGTGGAATGCCCTGGGATGCAAAGTTGGGGAACTGGGCAATTTGGTTTTCGAACATGAGGTCAACCGTCTCCTTGCGTAGGATCTGCTTGTTGGTCGTGGGCGATATGCCATCGTTCAACAGTGTCGCGAGAATTTGGCAATACTCCTGAGGCTTAGCAAAGCAGCCTGCCCCGCCGCTGTTGAAACAACGGTCTATATCCCTCGCATCCTCCACGATCAATGGTCGTCGCAGAAGGTGATCGCGTGGAGATAACTGTCCATCTGGTGCCCGGGCATTCATATGAGCCAGCCCTGACTTCATGGATGCATTCGGGAACATGGAAATGTTATGCAAGTCCAACGGCTCAAAGATATTACGACAGAAGTATTCATTCAATGACAGGCCTGTGACGCGCTCCACGAGAAGGCCCGCCCAATCAATGTTTACCTAAAGCTGCTTGTTAACTCTGCATCGAACCATGGCTTGTCTATCTTACCCCATATTCCCATCTCTCTCCTGGCTGGTTCACCAGCGGTTGTAGCATATCATAAAAACTTCCCGAAAATTCGTCATACCCTACCGGCTTGCTATAGTCTCGTAATTTCTCACTGAAGATTGAGTACCCGAAGCCAGCTGCACAATATTGTATGGTTAACATATGTACCTCGAGTGACTGTTCATGCTCTGATGGAAACTCTCACCGGTGTGGGTTAGAAGCATTCGCAACGTAATCCCCTGCTTCTTCTCGACCAGGCTTCCATCCTCTTGTAAGACCCGCACCTGCTTCAGCTCGGGGCAAATCGTTTCAACCTGGGTACAATCGTCCAAGGAGAGAAGGCCTTGTTCCACAAGCTGCATACAGGCAATTCCCGTAATCAACTTGGTACATGAGGCAATCCAGAAGATATTGTCGAGTGTCATCGGGTCAGGAGAGCCATATCCTCGTTTTCCGCTGGCATGGGCAAAGTATTCCCGACCGTCCTTACCCACGACGACCACCACTGCTCCAGGGATACCTTTTTCTTGGTCCGCACAGGCCTCAGCAAGTCGAGCTTCTAAAGAGCCGGTCATGTCGGGGGTCAGTTGAGTCATTTTCGCAGTTGCGGGGGATTATGAAGTTCCTCGTATCAGGAGCAAGCGCGCTTATACGAAGCAATCTTGACCAGCTTTTCCGGATTGAGGTTTGCCTTAATATATCCTTCGTGATCAGGTGCTTCGTGCTAGTACTTGACATTGGGTCGCCCAGTAAACTCCGCACATGCATCGAGCAAACAAAGACAGATTGAGTTAAGTTGCGGGGGCGCGGCTATGCAGCATCGGATCCGCATTGCATCCTGCGGCGGGGGTGAGTAATAAAAGGCATCCATGATATGCTCAAGTTAGCTTTCAAGCTGCATCAGAGCTGCATCACAGTCGGACATATTCCGCGTCACAAGATACTGATGCGGATCCGCATGCACGGACAATCACCTCCGATGCCTTCGTAGTTCCACGCGGACCCGGTATCTTTGCACACACATTCTAGGCCTTCTAACTCTTGGCCCCGATTTATTGGTCTACAGGAATACCCCGGCGAGAGGGGAAGGATTGCCTGCCAGAATCGGACTGATGCATCATTAGCTGGAGCTACGCATACACGGCTTCGTCGGTTATCATCACTGACAGGCGCAACAATTATAGGCGCTTAACCCTGGCTGCTGACAGTATTTAAGGTATCTATTCTCTTGGACCGAGTGTATCCAATCTCGAAACATCCTCTGTGCAGAGAAATACGAATACCCTCTGAGCTCTTTGATCTTCCTATCATCTTCTTTGAACCTTGGCGATATCTCCTTTGTCGTTCTTCCATCTAACAGAATACCAAAAGGTACACCGCCGAAGCCATGCACGTACGAAGGGAACTCGCTGAGAATGCCACGCGCGACACCACAAATGGGAATTACGCCGATGATCTCGACGTTGACGTCCTGATTGTGGGTGCGGGTTTTGGCGGTATCTACTCCCTGTACGAAATGCGAAAGCTCGGGCTCAAGGCCGTCATCTATGAGGCAGGAAATGACATTGGTGGCACATGGAGATGGAACTGCTATCCCGGCGCGGGTGTAGACTCGGAAGTACCCGAGTATCAGCTGTCCATCCCGGAAACCTGGAAGGACTGGACGTGGTCGACCAATTATCCCAACTATGAGGATCTGCGCAAGTACTTTGACCATGTGGACAAAGTCCTCGATATCAAGAAGGACTGTGCATTCAACAGCGTAGTCGTCGGCGCCCATTTTCATACGGTCGAAGGGCGCTGGCACATCCGGACTGCAGATGGAAGGACTGCACGCGCCAAATACTTTATCGTCGCTGCCGGTTTTGCGGCTAAGCGCTACATCCCGGAGTGGCCCGGCATTGAGAAGTTCAAGGGTATCGTCCATCACTCGTCATTTTGGCCTGATGAGAAGATTGACGTTCGTGGGAAGCGCTGTGCGATCATTGGCACTGGAGCCTCTGGCGTGCAAGTCACCCAGGCCTGGGGACCTGAGGCCGGGGAGCTCAAGGTCTTCCAGCGCACGCCAAATCTGGCAGTGCCCATGCGCAAGCGACCTCTCACAGTGAAGGAACAAGAGGATACCAAGGCGTTCTATCCGCAACTTTTCAGGTATCGCGAGAAATGCTTTGCTGGGTTCCTGTACACATTTTCTGAGCGCGGTTTGTTTGAAGACAGTGAAGAGGAGCGGGAGCAGTTTTTCGAAAAGCTGTGGAGTGAGGGTGGATTTCGGTACTGGGTTGGCAATTACAAGGACTATCTGTTTGACGCCAAAGCGAATCGTGTCGTCTATGATTTCTGGAGGAAGAAGGTGTGTGAGCGCATTAATGACCCCAAGGACCAAGAACTCCTGGCGCCTTCGGAGCCACCACACCCGTGGGGAGTGAAGCGCCCTTGTTTGGAATATGACTACTTCGAGCAGTTCAACCGGCCCAACGTTGACGTGGTTAATATCAAAGACAATGGTATTGCCGACTTCACTGAAAACGGCATCAAGCTGCAAGATGGAACCGAATATGAATTTGACATTGTGTGTATCGCCACTGGATTCGACGTCACCACTGGGGGCATGACCAGTATGGGACTTCACAGCATCGATGGCAAGAGTCTCAAAGAGGAATGGAAATCCGGTGCCTTCACCCATCTTGGCATGACGGTCAGTGGTTATCCCAACATGTTCCATATTTACGGGCCACAGGGCCCAACCTTGCTGAGCAATGGCCCTACCACCGTGGAAATCCAGGGGCGGTGGATTGCAGATGCCATCAAGCAGATGGAGCGGCAAGGTATTAAGTACATCAATCCGACCGCAAAAGCTGCCAAAGAGTGGAAGGTCAAGGTCAATGCACTTTCAGACAGGTCGCTCTTCCCTACGACCAAGTCCACCTACATGGGTGGCAGCATACCCGGAAAGGTCTTTGAGCAGGTCAACTATGCTGGGGGGGAGTACGCCTATTCCAAGGAGATCCGAGCAGCTCTTCCCGACTTTGTTGGATTTGATATTGTCAAACGCTGAAGTGGGTGGCCATTGGGAGACGTCGCGTTGTGTTTCACTAGCAATAGCCTTTTGTAACCTTGGGAGTAACAACACATGACCAAATAATTTGTCTGTGTCTGAACTGTAGAGAGTCCCGTCCGTAATGATGAAGCCGTAGCCAGTAGGATTCAACAGGCCGAAAATAACCTCAAGCGCAAGCAGATCACGAACTCTTAATTGAACCCTTAAGCTTGGCCCGAGTTATACCCCGCAAACCCCCGCTTTTTCCCAGCTGAATCCCTGCTTTAGTATCTCTCAGTCGGATCCATGTTCACCTTCCCCATTCTCACGGGAACAGCGCTACCTTGCTGTCGTTCACACCATATTGCTGCAAATAATGTCTTATCGTCGCCGTCAGCATCGGAGCTGCGATCAATGCCGTAAAGGCAAGAGAGCATGCGATGCCCTCCTAGCTGACGAGCTTGAGGGAATTGCGGAGATTGGTGCTCAACAAGCATATAATCACTCTTGCTCCAATTGCAGGAAATACAAGAAAAAATGCACGTTCGACTGGCTCTTGAGCCACAGTCACATAGCATCGCGGCATGGTCATAGCAAGAGAGCCAGAAATGTTGCCATTGCTCGTTCCCGGCAGGCGAACGACCATTCCGCTCGATCCTCTCAACAAGCCTCCATTGGGCGTAATCCTGCAGAAGACCCCCAGCAAAATGCCGAGAACTGTGGACGCTCAATGTTCGTTTGGGATCCGTTTTTGCCGTTGCCACAAGACGAAGGACTAAATGCGGACTGGTTGAATTGGGGGAACCTGAATGACACAGCTTTCGTCTCGCCTGTGAGCGACGATATGATCGTCAATAGCAATAGCCACGTCGACGTCGACCATACACCACCAATGACTGCCCAGTGGACCTCTCCCGGAGCTTGCCAAGATTGGCATATTATCGATCAAACTGCGTTGCTCGACATGGTGAGCAATTCAAGCGCTTCGTCGCAATCAAATGTCACACCTGGCACCCAGCCATTTCGGAGCTGTGGTGTCAATTCTGAGCTCTCGCTGTATGATGTTCCACCAACCGAAGTTTATGCTGCGTCCCTGCCAACGAACACTACACTGTGTGTAGGCTCTAACCAATTATCACACAATTATGCGAACTCCACGATGGCGCACAACTTATTACATATATACAACGACAGTATGGAAAACGCATTGAGCTGTTGGCTGACGGAGCGTAATTGTCCCTACAGTAATCCGGGATGCGTTAACGCAGCAGGACCGAAGACAGGCCCTTACACCACACATAGAATTTACAGACGGGTTTGCCTCTTAGATCGGGCATACTCATCCATCTCAGGTCGACGTCTGACGAGCGTGGAGAATCGGACAGCAACGCAGGTACTTCATGCTGCCATCATGGCATTCGCTTCTCAGTGGCTAGAGGAACGTTCACTAGACAAATATATTCGAATCCCAGCCACCGCGCTTCACCAACGAAGAGGCATACGTGAGGGTTTCTGGAACCAAGCACGTCATGCACTAGAGCAATCGAGAGCAATCCCATCTTTCCGCGTGGCCTTTGCGCATATGTTGATTTCGCTAACTCAGCCTCCCCTACACTTTGAAGAAGGGATGGAGCTCGGCGGACTCATAGACCATGATCCTGCACCGATATACCTCGAAACGGCGCTCCGGCAAATGTTTACTTTTCGTTCGACGTTGATCAAGCTTCAGCGGCAAGGTCCCAACAGGGCCCTCGAGCATGGCTGCAAAGGGAGCCAATGCGAGGAATACCATACAGGACAAAGCAACCATCAGTCAGGCCAGGTTGATGTGATGCTGAAGAACTCTGAAGCTCAACACACTTTCGATCTTCTATTCTGGCTGGGCATTATGTTTGATACATTGACGTCGGTCATATATCAACGGCCCCCTGTGATTTCCGATGAGGACAGTCAGATTATACGCACCCGGTCGCCCATATTTTCGTTTCCGGATGCCGTTGACTTGGATGGATGGGATATTGGCTCCTCTTCTATTTGCAAGAGCAAAGAAAGTGTATGGGGCGATCTATTTCTTCGCAAACGTAACATGCTCCACAACCTCAACCAGGCCCGCTGGCCCTGTTCTTACGAAGAAGCAGCGGAAGTCTTATCTGACGCAGCGCCGGTAAAGGTCCTTCTATTCCGTCGCATAACTCACATCAATACGCTTGTATGTCGGGTAGGTGAGGCTGAGGCGATCGAGGAAGCGATCCACAACGCTCTCTTGGTCTACGAGTACTGGAACTCCACATACGAGCAATTTATGCTGGATTGCCTCTCTCATCATACAGAGCTCCCGTCTCGCATACAATCGTGGTATTTAGTGCTGGCCGGGCATTGGCATCTTGCGGCGATGTTGCTCGCAGATACCCTTGAGGACATTGACCAAGCGCGACTTGGTCTAGATTCTCAAGCCACGTATCGGTCCACGACGGGTGTCATCTCGCGCTTGAGACGCGAAAGTGCGTTCGCTGTTGGAGATCTTGCCCAATACTCTTACGATCTGCAGGACTCGTCGCATCCGAAGCTCCGCAACTTTCACGATTCTGTCAATCAGGCTGCATCCTTGACGGAGCCATGGGCTGCTGTACTTATCCACTCGTTCAGAAAGGCGGGCACTATTCTAACCAGAGAGATCGACATATCGCAAAGTGACTACCAAATGCAGCAAGAGTCTTTCATGCTGGCGTGTCAGCGTTGTGAGCACTGTATAAAGGCCCTGCAGTGCCTGGGGAAAAAGTCAGATATGGCTCTGATCGCAGCTCAGGGACTATTGGACAGTGTAAACAGCACATTGTCGCGACCCAATCCTATTGATTTATACAATATGTGCGCCCTGTGATTTTGCTTTGTGGTCCTGTAGCTGGTCCACTCGGATTGTCCGACATGAGGAAACGGAGTAAGTGTCGGCGAGATGAACATAGCGCCTCGATTCTGTCTAGCTAGTATCACCGCTAATACACATTGGCAGGCATTGTCCACAATATCTCCGAATGATGAAGGCGCAGAATATGGCGGGACACAAATCCACTACTTAAGACCATTTCCACGTCAGTGAGAGACATATGCATCAGGGACTTGGAGCATTTGGCATCCACGACGAACAGCCAGAGGTTCAATATGAAGAAATGTATACTCCAGAGAAAATCGATAGCTATGATTCGACGCGCGAAATATTGATTCAGCTCTGGCTTCCATCTGGACGGGTTCGTTCAGAGTGAGCTGCCAAGAAGGAAGTCGCGTCGTGCCTTGCGAACAGTAAACAAAGATCGCTCTCCACGTGATTCCTGCAAAATAGCCCTGCGTATCTCAAATTCATGTTTAAAAACTCTTCTAAGTTCGTCTAGGGATGCTACGGTAGCTTCTATACATGTATGTGAATTTTGTACGTTATTCCAGGCTTTAATAATGAGTTTTTGCTCCGGTTGTCTTTGAGCAGGTAAAGTAGACACAAAACATATATTGGCTCAGTAGCACTTCTAGACTATGTAAAGATGTACGCATACATCAAGGATTACTCACTCAAACTAGCCAACAAAATTCTTGAAAAGATGTATAAAATCAACCTTGCGATAAAATTATTTTTGATATTTTCAATGTAATTTTATCATATACTGTGGTCTGTATTTGAGATTGCCAAACAAAGAAATGATGGAATCTACGAACCAGGAGATATTACTAATACAGAGTCCGACACAGCCCCCGCCCTAAGCCCTAAGCCCTAGCGGCGAACCTCCAGCCAAACTGAAATAGGTACTAGTTACCGCCGCTTATATGAGGGCGCTCAGGCAATCAGGTTGAAGAGGTATTCGCCAATGATCTCCTTGCATTCCAGGGGTGAAAAGGGAGAATTCATGCAGATCAATATACTATTTCAAGGATTCTTGTAGCAATCGGGCGTCATACAATAGTCAACCACGGGCTCCACCATACGTACTTGATGATGCGCTAGACTTCTCAAATGCATTTTTTTTTTTTGGCCATATCTGGCTCTATGCTGTACGTGTGTGTGTTTCCAGCTCGTGTTGTTCGAAAGCGTTGGTCTGAACGTCAGTAACATAGTGCTTGAACTTGCGAAGATTGACCTTCTTCTCAAACCTATGGAAAAGGGACCAAGGAGTTAGCACAACTCGAGGATGGAGGCATACAGAATACTGTTGGAACGCGCTTCTACTTACATTTCATCGATCTCGGCAGGTGTCCGACGCGTGACCTCCGGGAGGATAAACCACGCGATGATAACAGCTACCGTACCAGTTCCTGCGAAGCTGTTTAGTGGAGCTTCTGTCAGTGGCTGATCTTTTCATTTATCCAGTGGAGTGGAAACTGAGTACGCACAAGAATCCTGTTTTGACTCCCCATTTTGTGAGAGGTCCGTTGATCATCAGGGGTGTGCAGAAGCTGAACATGAGCGCGACTAAATTGGACGCCGCAAGAGACCAGCCTGCCGTTTGAGCGCGCAGGCGTTGCTGCGGGATTTCTGCAGCGTAGGCGTAACCGATTGACGAGGCACCGGTGGTCGTGAATGTAGCGAGACAGGCGAAAAAGACCTGTGGTGCGGTGTTGGTTGGTTAAGGATCTTGGTGAAGATCATGGATTTGTATGACTTACTAGAAGCGAGCTTGTAGACTTCTGAGTGTAATCAAAGCAGCCGATTATTCCAAGGCATAACACCGATAGAGTCGTTACCGCATAGGGATAGACAGTCAGTGGTCGACGGCCGACTTGGTCGGTGAGCATGGCCGTGATGATCATGGAGAGGAGTTGAACGCAGGACAAGATGACGGTAACCAAGAAAGGGTCTTTATTACCAGCATATTGAACTGCAAAGAGAGGTGAGCAACAGAAAGCAGAGACTGCTGATTTGGAGTGCAGCGAGCTTACAGAAATAGGTAGCGTTGGAGTTAAACACCGCCAGCCCGACGAACTGCTGGGTGATCTTTGGCCATCCAGCAATCACGAACCGGATGAAATTGCGGCCCTGGAAAACAGCCCACGTCCCTTCCTGCGAGTCTCGCTCAGCAATTCGGCGCTCCTCGGCGACTGTGGCGCTCATGATCTCCTGCAATCCGCACTATCGTTAGTACCAAGCGCGCACTAAGAGCGGTATTTGGACAGACAATTTGTTCAGACACATCGTAACCCTCAACGCGGCCATTATAGGTCTTAAGGATCTTCGCGGCCCTATCACGCTTTCCTTTACTAACGAGCCACCACGGGGTTTCGGGCATGAGAACGAAGATAATAATCGTTGCTCCGACCATAGCCCACTAGGAGGACTTTTCAGTATATTAACTGCGACTCGCTCAAAGAGACTGGTATTTACCTGTGTATAGATGGGCGTTCGGAAGTCCAAGGGACTTATAGCATGAAGTCGGTTGAGAGCTACTGAGGCGAATATTTGCCCCACCACAAACCAACTGAGCGATGCTCTGGTTAGAATTATCCGTAATTCAAATGGGCAGGGAGGTAACTTACAAGCTGTACGCATTAATGAAAAATCCCCTTAACTGAGTCGGAGCTATCTCCGACAAATAAATAGGCAATGTTGATTGCAGCATGCCAACCCCCATGCCTGAGAAGAGTTTCGCCACGAGCCAGTGATCCCATCGGGTAGCGAATGACTCAATGAATATACTCTGAGGAAAACGAGTTACATTAGCACTTTGGTGAGTACGCCGGGGAGTAGAAGTTTGATCAAATAGGGGGAAGGTTGAGTCGCGGCGTACCACTACGAAGACGACCCATATGATGTAAAATGCCACTTTTCGGCCGAATGATTCCGTAGCATACTGGAGCAGCTGTATAGAAGCAGGGAAGAGGATTTAGCAAGCTTTCCATGAGTTTGAGCGTGGATATCCCTACAATTTGGCCAACCGCCTGACCAGAAGACTGAATGCCACTCCAAGCGGAGACATACTGGCCTTCGATGATTGTTGTTCCAGGGCTCGCCATCTGTCGGATGAATCCCTCATTGGAAACGAGCCCACCATTGAGGTTGATCTCTAACACCGGGTATGTATCATATTAGTCTGACTTCCATAAAGTTTTGAATAGAAGGTCAGGATAAGAGAGCCATACGGTAACCATCTAGCGCGGCACTGAACGCCGCAGCCATCGCAACGACTGAGATGACTTTATACCGCCTCACCGTCTGCCAGACAGAAAGGTCATCTTCCTTTGACCGCATCAATGGCGCATCACCCTTGGTTATCGTACAGTGCTCATTCTCTTCAGCGGTTGGCTGTTCGGGCGCCTCATGTTTGCTAATGCTTGGCTCGTCTGCGGTGACGGCTTGCAAGTTATCGTGTGAGGCGTGGTGAGTGACCATGATGATCTGTCGATAATATGACTCGGGACCTTGATCTTCTAGACATTTAGGTGTAGGTCAGCGGGTATCCTTTTGGCCAAGGTCCTTTTGTATATGGGCCCAAGAGTACATTAGTGTTCATAGTGGACCCGTGCGGAGACCCCAGAGATACCCCAGACGGGAGAGTTCCATTAACCTATGTCAAGCTTTGACACGCGATCGGCTATTGACAGGGCAGGATCGGCTTATGACTGCTAATTTAGGGTACGGAAGGACTCCAAGCTCCGGTGGAGGTGGAGAGATTAATTGCGCCAGCGCTTTTGACTTCGGGATATCGCACCCCGAGTGTGTACTCACATTGGGTGATCGACACCGTAAGACCATGCTCTATTAATGCGGGGTGAAACTAGCGCAAGTTACCATCAAAGTGAAAGGATACCCGCCATTGATTTGGGCAGCTGCCTCGGATAAATTATCTAAGATCAACAGGACAGGTAATAGTTGACTACATCCTGATTTGTCATTGCTTCTAGCTACCATGTTATGCCGTAAAGGCACAGACCTATAGACACTGCTTCTTAGAGATAGATAAGTAAAGCCTCTGAGGCGCCGACTGTAAATGTGGCTGAACCGGAAGACACGGTATTTGTTTCTATGACTTCATCACCCTGGATCACGCAGGTTCCGTTTGCAAATGTCTGGCCTGCAACAGTAGGAACCTGGCCCTGATCAACTCGAGACGTAGAATAGGGTGCGGTTAGCCGCTTTGCGGTGACGCTAGAGGAGGTTAGTCCGTTCAGCGTGAAGGACTGTGACGGGCGTGTGCCATTGGTGTAGTAATCTGAATTGTACAAAAGTATCCTAGACGGAGCGCCGTCTTGGTAGATTGCGTATGCGGCGTACGGGGTTGTCTGGTCGTCTAGAGGAGCGATCTGGTCTGCATTGGCCAGAGCCATCGTCGCAAAATAGGCGCCATAATAGGGTGCGCCCATATTGTAGCGACCCCACCAGCAGTATGGGCCTTTCGAGTCAGCATGCTTCCAGTAAGTGGGCGAATCTCGTCACTTACAGTTACCTATGGTGCCCTGGTGGAAGTAAAGAGCCTACAAAGCCGGAGTGCAAGTGGTTACTTTCTGTGATACCGAGTCGAGTGATTCCAAGTACATACCTGTGTGCCCAACAGAAGAGTTTGCATCACGTAGTCTAGGATCCAAAGACCAGCACCGTATGTCGGGCTGATACCCCCGCCACCTTGAGTCGCTATAGAGCACCGTCAGTGATATTATCTCATGTGCGGTGGGATATAATTACCAGAGTTAGTTTCTCCAAAAATGTGAGCTTTGCCTTTTGCAGCTGCCGCTGCAGCTTCGGAGGCAAAGGGTTGGATTTGCGATGCAATACCACTGTGGCTCATTAGACCGGCCAAATCGGCAGTGCTTGGCGACTGGGGATAATTGTGCGAGCAGTAGTCCTTGACAAGGTCATCGGCTTCACCCTCAGCAGAGGATAAGCCGGTGATACTCATCGGCGAGGTGCCAAAGTAGACACCCGCGGAAATGAGACCTGATGCGGACAGATTCTGGCAAACTGCATCCTGCCAAGCTACCTGGGATTTGTAGTCGGCTGCAGCGTCCCATGAAGCGCCGTCTGCAATGGGGTCGCTGTCGGAAAAGACTGAATGGGCTTCATATCAGCAGGCTCCCGAGCACAATTATGCACAGGTAAAACTTACAATTTGGTTCATTTCCAAGCTCTATGGCATAGAGGTTGTTGATTGTATCTTTGGCCAGAGCCGCTGCGGCAATCGTATTGGACTGATTGTTCAGACGGCGATTAAGGCCCACAATAACCTGGCCGCCGTAGCTGGCAGCCAGGGACATGAATGGCGGGCCAAATGTAAGTGATGACGGTGCATCTGCTGGATCGGATACTGTATAGGTGACTGCACTGCTGGAAGACGCATCATACGTCGCACGATCTCTAAAATGGGATTAGAACGAATCATATAGCTTCAAAGATGAAGAAGCGCACTGTGTGGTGCCGCCAATTCGCAGTGGTGGCCAGGTCCCGGTCAGTTCCTTGAGGTTCTGAAGGCAGGTTTTGGTTGCATCGACATCGTTCATGTAAGCCGGAAATGTGAAAAACTCCAGACTGAGAAATCAGCACGGTACTCTCCCGGGATGTTTGTGTGATACTAACGAAAGGCCCACTGGTGCATCAACCAGCTGAGCGCTTGCATTTGTCGGTGCCGATGCCGGCACATCAGTAGTCCACGCTGAAGTCGGAGCAGCAACGGCGAGGAGGCCAGCAGCAAGGTAAAGAAGAGCCATTAGGACAAGTGAACTCTGTCGTAGCTTTACCTGGAGTATATGATGACAACACTGGATATGCCGCCCTTCGGGAGGTTTGCTACTTTATATCTACTGGATGGTTACTTACTACCCTACATACTCTGATACCCTCGGTAGAACATCCCGATAGTAGAATAGATTCTGAACTTCAGGGGTTTCCGTACAATCTCTGCCAGGGCTCGCCTCCACCGGAGAGAAATCGACGGCCCCACTGCCTTCCCCAAAGTCAGAATGGAGTGAAAGTCTGGAGAAGACGGCGTGCGTCGATCAAATGCGGGGTACGTTCATCATAGATGAAATGTCTTAGTCGTCGGGACAAGCTTCCCCGAGGCCTGCACAATAGGATACTATGCTATGGCAATAATCAATCCCTATTGTCTCCGATGCTCCAGCGTTTCTGCCTGATTTAGGTGGTGGATGTTGGTCCAGTTGGCTGGATTGGGACCGGCATCAGTGCACAGACTTGAACAGCTGTCAGCATATTGGCCGTTGTAGCTCTCTGTGACAGCAAAGGCGAAGTCGTGCAGAGAGGCAAAGAGGATAAAGGAGAGCCTCATACTGCCCTCTTAGCCAGTGCTAACAGGGGATGAGGGAGCTTGGAAGCAAGCGACTGAGTACTTGGGCGGATTTATGGCCCATATAATGTACTACTGTTGCTCATCGTGTAAGCCGGCGACATCAACTCAAACCATCCTGCTAGCCTCAGCCCATTTTTTTTCGGGTTATTGAGATTACTTGCAAGCCTTGTCGGGGGTTCTCACTTTGCCCCTGAGAAGTGCATGACACTAAGGAGAGACAAACCCCAAGTCTGGTCTGGCCAGATATTGCAAATCTATACGAGGCCCTCACATGCAGGTAACACTAGCGAATTAAAACTATAGTTGTTATTATTCTCCTTTCCCTCAATTGCCCTAGAGTATCCGGAGCTTTTACCCCTCAATAAAATTAGTCTAGGGAGTAATGTTATCAACATATCTCTACATGTAACCTTGTGGCTGGCTCGCGGCACACCCTAGAGCCTTACTAGTGTTAGTTAGCAACGGACTTCCGAACATTTCCGGGGCTAAATTCAGATAGAGACCTCCTGGATAGGTGCATGCAGTCGTCTTTGTATACCACGATGAGAACAAATTTATTTCGGCCCTTGCTTTTGTCAAAGGGAAAGGGGGAAGGTATTGGTTTCAAAGTCTGAATCAAGTTGCCACGCTTGATTCTCGTTGCTGACACGCTTCCTTTTCTTCTCCAGAATACGCATCGTGGAAAGCCTTGTCTTTATTGTCAATAGCACGTCCCGTTTACTCTCCTGTTGTTTCCCTGGTGATTGTTTTATTCGCCTCACAATTCCCCCTTCTACAGAGTCAGTATGGTCCTTGCTACAATTGCCGCGGCGCTCAATTCACCGGTCTATATAGACTATAATGAATTATTCATAAACAGTAGCAACATTCTCGCGGTCCCCTATGAAAATGTTACTGCCGCTTTCAAGACGCCTGTCTCTATCTACTCCACAGCTGTAGATGGCTTCGACTGGACACAGCCGTATCCAGGCTCCCGCAAAGATGGCCACACAGTATACCTGGAGATCGCTCAGGAGATGCCCTTGTCTGAATCTATCGTGCAAAATTCAACCACGGTCCTGTCGTCCTTGATGTTTGGTATTCCCGACAGCATGAGCTCCGGGGGTCAGCCACTGGCCATGGATCCCTCATGGTACATCTGTCGCCATGTCTTCATCTCTACCAAGCCCGAGGCGAAGCTGGCGGTCGACAGTGGCAGCAAGTGCGATTTTCTGTCCCGCACATGTCAGGACGATCTCAGGACCAGCCTGACCCAGGATTGGGGGAAAGCAGCCAACGGCACCATGTGCTCGGCGCTTGGTTTCGACCCCATACCACCGAGCTGTCAGGGCTCGTTTGGCTTCGCTCGCCAGGATGTCATGGACTTTGACGCCGCGTTCCTCGCAAATGCTACCCTGGCCCCGGCACAAACGAGCAAAGAGCAGCAGCAGTACAGCTGGCGCCTTGGTACCGGATACCACCATCCTGGCGATGCACGCGCCTACGACTTGGCTGCCAACCGGACGTACCTCGTCGCTACCGTTTGGGGCTACAGCGAGAATGCAAAGACCATTCAAGTTCCCGAGGTGTCATTTGGTTGCCTTTCGTCTGGCGCAGGCGACGTCCCACCACCTTCACCTTCTCCATCATCAACCACGACCGCGACTACGGCATCGACGTCTTCATCTGCCGCCGGTCCAACGCTAAGACCGGCCTGGATAGCTACAACGGGTGCTATGCTGGTATTGGCAACGGACTTGCCCTACTCGGCCGGGCTGACAATAATTGGAATGGGTTCGAGACTATTCAGGCTGCGGACGTCAAGGCGGGACAGGAGCATCCATTGAAAGCATACTGCTGGGTTGAGTGGCATTAGTGGGTACATGACAACCATGTTTGTGAGAATTTGAGGATTTACACGGCTCGAATTGGAGATACAGCGAATATGAATAGTGTATCGCAGTTGAGATTCCGTAGCTTTTCCAAGTGAAGGCTTTTATGATGTATGAGGGTTATTTTTCTTTTTTGCCAACATGCTACGTACACTGGATTCAATAATAGCACCTTTAGACCTATCTAGGTATGCTATATTATCTCGCTTATCCATTTCATCAATGTAGATAATTGCCGAGATCGCAATCACGTATTTTAGCAAATAATTAATATCGGAGGCTGAGGAAGCTCAAGGACAACATTTGAAAACAGGCGAGTACTAACCAGTACATTGGCTTGGTTAGGGGAAAGAATTAGGAATGTAACTTAACCTTCCCATTAAGCGTTAGTCTGACCCCAAAGGCTAGCTCTCAGCGAAGATTGGTTAGATACGGAACCGTGAGCCATATCTATTATATTAATATATGCATGGGTTAACTCTCTAGGTAGTAGCCGAGGTATCGAGCATATCCTTGTTACTATTAGCCTGATTAAGACTGCTATACTTAAAGATTACAAGACCACGTCAAACTAGCACCATTTTTTTTCTTAGTCGCCTATTCTCGGCCTAGTGGGAACGTTGCTGAGAATACCAGCAGGCAGATAGTAATAAGAGCATCAGAAGATGGACAATCGTTCCTGCTCCTTTGTCTGTACTTTTCTTCTACCAGTGCATGACTCGTGGTTAGTACAAAATGCCCGGCGCTACGACCAGACACAGAGGTTCATCAGGGCGTTCAAGGAGCTCATGACAAAGAAGGATTTCAGCGTTGCATACACAGATCCCGTAGAGAGACCACCGGTGCCAGAAGATTGATGGAGCCCAGGCCATCAGCGATAACAAAAACCGAGCGGGTTTTGACAAGGTGGAGGGAGGAACTTTGCCACCGATTCTAATACCACAAAAAATCATAGGCATAGAATCGATTCTTTTACCACTCAGTTATAGGTGGCGGGTATCTATAACACTCACCGGTACAATATCGCACCATAATCCGCGGTCGCAGCTTGGGCAGACTCTGTCGAGCTTCTTTGACCCACGGATGATTCTCATTAGGCGAATACCGATGTAAGTCAATAGACCTTGACTGCGGCAGGCAAGGTACCCAAGCGGATCCTGGGTCCACCCCAAGAATGTCGAGGTTGACCTTCCGTGCGTAGTCCCACAACGACGCGAGGAAGATCCATTCAGCGTGTCTTTTCCATTTCTCCACGGCCGCTCGGAATCGAGTACTTGTAAGTAATTCAAACAGTATTTGCAGAGCCGGTTCCTTTTCCAATGCGTGCTCCCTGAATAATGCTTGAAATTTCCTCAACCGAGCTTCGTCGTCAACATCGACCATCTGAACGGGCGCATCGCCTAACAGTCCAAACAAGCCCGATCTCAGAGCCACTTCCCTGGTGATATGCAGAGACACTGCCACCATGGCCACGTCGAGCCTCGGTGCAAAATCTGCTAAATCCGCAATATCACTCGCCTCTTCATTTTGTAGAGGGTGACACATGCCCGCGTGACGAGAAGACCGGAGGCAGAAGATTCCATCGTCATCATCGTCATCATCGTCCGCAGTGCCATCCAACAGCCCTTTCAAATCAAAATAGTGAATTACTTCTGCCACGATAGAAGGTTGCATCCCAAGCTCTGCTGCTTCATAGCACAGGAAATAGGCTATCGGACTGGTAAGTTCAATAAGCGGTCCCATGACATCGTAGCTCATTCGCGTCCAGTTGATATGCAGCACATCCCGACGCGGCTGCACCCAAATCGACTCTAGCTAGTTGGTTGCTGTCCATGCATATAGCGGCCCTGTTCAAACGCGACTAGCCGAGACTCACTGTTGACAAATGCGATGACCGGCAGCCGAGTGTTTAGGTGTGTTGTACGCTTGGGGAAACAGCCTTGTCGGGATTCGTCGCCATCAAGAAGAAAGGCGGGGATGTCTTCTTCTGCTATGCGATACGGTAGACAGTGCTCCCAAATAAGACGGCGCAGCTCTAGAGGCAGCTGCATGAAGTAGTGGAAAGAGTCGTTAGACATCTTGTAGGCTTAGTGAATAGTGATTTTTATGTAGGGCGCGCGTACCGAGGAATAAATAAAAAGAAGCTGAACGATGGGTTTGGGGATTAAATAGTTAAAACCCGACGGCCCTAGTGGTCGCGCCAGTGCTAGCCTTACCTCTAAGGCCTTAGGACAGTTAAGGGTGCTCATTATATTAATTTACACTTCTTATCTTACCATATACTCTAGTATGAGTCACCCAGAAAAAAGTGGCGCTGATCCAGCGCCTTCCAACAAGAGAGTCCAGTTCGACAGTATAGTTATATAATCAGAAAATTCCTACTGGTCATAATTTGGCAGGAAGGATTGGCCTCTGGAGACTTTCCATCGCATCCCGTCTCATCTTCGTAACGATCCGTGCTGCTGGCATCACAGCTCGTATAAGCCCTACCCCGGTTCCTGCATAGGTGGTCATACGGCCTTGCGGTCCCCAACCATCATCACCCTTGAGCTTCTCCTTCTCATACAAACGTTTATTCTCCTCCTCCGTGACCTTCTGGTTCACAATGTCCTCGTACGATCGATTGATCAGACCGCGCCCATCATACTTCGTTGGCCAGCCATAGATCCCTCGGACTCTATCATACACAGTTGACCGTACCGTATTCACACCACCGTCCGAGGCGCGGAGAATCTCACTTTGATAGCCTTGCGCGATCTGTGCCTCGGGGGAGGCCAGAAATCGAGTTCCCATGGCACATCCGTCTGCACCCAGAACCATCGCGGCGGCCAACCCCCTACCGTCAGTGATACCACCCGCGGCAACAACAAACGGTCTCCCGATGTTCTGGGCTTGACTCGGGTTTGTTGACCTCAACTGATCCAGCACCTCGGGAAGAAGAGTGACAATACTAGCAGACCGAGCAAATCCATGGCCACCGGCATCGCATCCTTGGACTACAAGAACATCCGGCAGCAATTTCTCGGTATATTCTATTGCATCCTCTAAGCAACAAAGTTGCACCCAGATCTTGACGTCGTAAGAGACTTCGGATCGAATGGCTCGGACCCAAGGTACGAGGTCGTCCACACCGGTCTTCGGTGCGAAGAGCCAAACTGCGCAAGGGCGGTACTTCTGGATCAAGGGCAATGTAGCATCCAGAGATGCTCCCCAGTTTAAGAAGCCCACCCCGACGGGGAGGACAGGAGGCTCACCTGGGTTCTGTTGAAGCTGGGACTGTTGAAAAGAGACCTTGTTGACGAGAGCTTGTGCTTGAATGAGCTGTTCTTCCAGGTTCGAGAGATCATATCCACCGGCAATGAAGCCAATTCCCCGGGCGGAGGACACCGCGACTGCGAGCTTTGCAGTCGCGATGTTGAGCATGGGCGCTGACGCAATGATCGGACCTGTGATCCATGGATAATCCTTTTCTAGACGAGAGAATTGCGCAACTGTCATTATGGTCGACTTTGTCTTCGTGTATTCCTGTCGAGAGAATCCATCTGCCTCGTCAGAAAGAGGTATATATGTACCTGTGGCATAACCTAGGCGACTGGAAGAATACCCGAGGTTCAAGAGAAATGATTGTAACAAACCAGTACACAATGAGATAGGAACAAGGACCCCGGAAAGCGCTATCATGTAAGGGGACGTGGCGCAGTCACGCGGCTGGTGAGGGCCCAAAGCGTCAAGCATGCCCTATCTCGATGCTCGCTCCTCCTGCCGGCAGGGATCATGGCTGCAGCGAGGTGGGGATAATGAGTAACCAACATATCCACTGAGTGTTCCGATTACTACTCTAACCCTGTTGGTGTGTGACCCATCGCATGGTTTATCTACCATCGCTTTGTTATCATGCTTTAGTCCATTTCGCGAAAGGCACTAATGACTGGTCAGGTATCTATAGATAGGATCAAGATACAACGATTACAAATTGCGGTTTCCTGGTAGGATATCGTGCAGGATGGTCGGTGGATCCCCGAGCCAGGTCGATACCTGGACGCTCTTTCGAACGTTGCTTAAAGTTTTCGCTCTCCCCGTTTGTCTGCCGTGACGTCCGCAAGGAAGCCCTAGACAAAGGTCATACTTTAAGTTTCATCTAACCCTATCTGAAGCTCCGCAATATCCGTACGGGCCTTGAACTTAGATTATGTACAGGAACTGGTTTCTACTCAGAGAACAAAGAAGGGATCCAGGCTGGCGAGCCACGCAGGTAGCTGTACTCATTGTACAAGGGAATCATTATACTAGACCTTGTTTAGAAGTTCTCGGATTGACCACGTCATTACACAAGTATCCCGCCATCCCCGATCGTCGGTCGTGAATTCAGAAGTAATAGTACTTGTTCGGGGAACTAAACAAGAATCCATTTATACATTGACGTAATGGTGGTGTCCTAGTCCATGGTGCTGCGCCTCTAGTGCCAGTTGTCCATGCGGGCGAACTGGGGCCCATGTCGGTATCATATGTCGTCCAAACTAGCGTCATAGGCCACTGACGTGCTTGAATGGGGCTATGAAAGCCCATGCTCCTTTGACTTTTTGTCTAGCCAGCTTGTGGGCTTGTTTCTTTCGATCTGATCCCAACAATCTTGTACCCCACGTTGAGGCGCACCTTGCATACTACTACTAGTAGTAAAGCAAAGCTCGATCGCTATAGAGTAGGACCTTTTTTCAACAGAAGATGCAATTCCAACTCCGAGAAACCATGAATTTGGAGGACGATGATCAGTTGCTTGGAGCCTCTACGGCGGATTTCCGGCCCGCAAAACGTAGCGATACACGCCGCATTGCGGAGGAACCATTACCACTCTCTGAATATTGAGCTTTTCTTCGTTTTACCTTTACTTACGAAGGATTACTCTGTTACATCCGCCTTCTACCTTTAAAACCCAGGACTGCTTCTCCCAATGCGACCGCGTGGACAATCGCGATTGGGGCGCACAAACCGGATGCAGCTGTTGATGGAAACGATATAGACTAGATTAACACTGCCTCCTGTAATCAATTTGCCTCTCCAAGTGGATTGTCTGTTCTGCATATGTTGTGCATGCTAGGGTCTTTCTGTTATGTAACAAGATCGAAAAGGGCCTAGATATAGCCGCTGTTATAGGTATCCTTCGTTTCAATTATCGAGCATAATGAACGTTGAAGTAGTAGATGGAGATAACAGTTTCTTAAGGACCTGCAAGGATACACCAAGTATGCTAATCTAATACGATTGCTTCAAGAACCGAGCATGGTGTATTGTCTCATCACAGCGCCTCGAATGTCGAGAGAAAGCCATGTCGCTAGTTCCTGACACAGCACAGAAATCATTTTCAGGGCTTCTGTATCAAGATAGCCTCGGCCTGAGAGAGTTCACATCGAACAATACCATCGCTATTCACAATGCCCTGCTCGATCTTTTCCTGACCTACCAAGTCTCCCGTCGCTGAATCAATGCCGACTCCCGACACGCGCACCTCACTCTTCGCGTTGGTTCCTGGACCCTGCAATCGGAGAATCTCTATCTTTGTTCCTGGTCTCCACGACGTATGCACTTCCACGGTTCGTCGCGGTCGGTCCCCTGGGGAAGCAAACGTGGAGTCTGTTGCGGTCAAGGTGGAGGGGTTCTGGGCCCCGACTGTCGAGTTCCACACGCCCAAATCGATGAAAACGAGCTTTGCCAGGCTTGGCTGGGTGTTATTGCTGAAGATCGCATATCCGCTAAAGTCCGACGCATTTGCTGCGGGTAACGCAGTGATTTTCCACGAGTCCGCCTCCCTGCCGGAGATGACATGCGCGAGGAAGAGATGCGAGAAGAAGTTGGCTCGGACACCGGCAGTGAGGTTCTCGCCCTTATACTCATACGGCAGAGGTGTGAAAGCAGAATATTCGCTCTGGTGACCGAGGTGGAAGTAGGTTTGCTCGAGGCCAATTGTCGCCGCCGTTAACACATAATCGGTGGCCCAGAGGGCGGCTCCAAATGTGTCGCTGATCCCGCTCTTCCCACTGCATGAGGCCGAGTTGGTTTCACCTAAAACTAGTCTGCTACCTGCGGCTCTGGCAGCTGCGTCTTGTGGAATATACTGCGACAGATTCCTCCAGATAACGTCGTGATCTGAGAGCAAGTTCAAGGAAAGACGCGCGTAACGCACAGCATCGCAAGTCGATTGGGGGTAGAGGTGTACCGCGTAGCTCTCAATGATCTTAGGGTCGACCAATCCCGCACGGGTTACGTTAACGATGTCAAAATCGTCTATTTCATCATGTTGATCGGGGACCATAGGAGGGTCAGCAAAGACGGCCGCTTGGAAGAGTGGCTTGTGAGTAGCATTCTTGTAGAACTTGGAGGATAGAATTTGGTCTGTCAGCTGGCGCCACTGCTTCGTATATTCCTTGGTGTCCCAGTCCGCCCCCCGCCAGCCTTTGTTGATATAGTGATCTATCTCATTGCCCAGCTCAAAGTGTGATAGGGAGTCTCCCAGTGCCCCCATTGCGGCTTTGGCTTCCTCCATGGCGTTAATCCATGAATCTGTCTCATTGCGGAGATTCAACGTGTATAGAATGTTGGTTCCTTGTGGGAAATATTCTTTCCAACCATTGAACCAATCTCGTCGAATGCGCAACTCCTCCACAGTGGTATCGTTCGGCAGCGCTTCAGATGGCACTTCCAATGTCGGATCGAACAATGTCTGGTCGCAATATTGCCTCCGACTCGAATTGGTGCCGGCACTCCAGCTATCTCTGAGATGTGTCTCAACAAATTTGACGCCAGTTCAGTTTCGAGGTACGGGGCAAGCGAGACAGGCTCAATTGAATAACCATACAAATCACGCCTCAGGACCCTAGCCGAGCTGTTCAAGGGTATATGAACGGTAGATACGGAAGACGCAATCGCGAGATTGCCAAAGAGAAGGAGACATGGCAGCCAGGATGACATTTTGGGCATATTGAACAGGGTCATCAACTTGCAGGGCTCATGCTCGGAGAAGAGCTGAGGCACAGCAAGATTTATTTAGATTCTTAGAGTGGGGTAGAGTCAATTGGGTGATTTCATAGAATGCGTTCAATCAAGCAACTTAATCTAATTACCAGAGAGATCGGCGCAGGATGTCAGCGTCAGCACGGTGTTATTCCGGTGGGGGAGTGTTCTCACCGACTGCACTCCATGGTCCCTAGCCAGGACAAACCGGAACTAACATAACTCGGAAAATTAGAGTTGCCCTTCAAAGGCCGAAGCCGACATAATATGAAGATCGCAGTAAAGTATTATAGAAGCAAGCCGGGACGGCATCTCATGGAGGCAGGTGTTTACTCCACCGGACTCGGTCTGGTCTGTTTCCCCACATTGTAGCTCCGGAGGGGTGTTTAGACTCGCCCACTCATGCATTCGCGTAAATCCGTCATACCTTCGAGTCACGCTAAGAATGTCAAGACGCGGGGAAATGACGGTTTTGAGGATGGTTGGTGCTGTAGCTGGGCCTATCGAGCTATCTCAGTGTCCTATCCTTTTGCCGTGTCGCCAGAGTCAGAGCGCCGGAAAATTTATCATCGCTTCCCTCACATATATGTGACCTTCTATATAGCAGATTGGGAATGTATCAGAAAGCATCGGCTTTCAATTTATCAGATAGTAGATTGTCGTATAGTAGAAGTATTTCTCACTACCGAGCCTACTTGTAGAAAGGACTACATATCATTCGGTGGCTCGGGCAGTAGTATTTGAGTGTATCATCTAATTGTTCCACATGGTCCTTTGAAATGATTGCTGCTCGGTAAAACTGGAGAAACCATGCGGCACCATACCCGATTATCCCAGGGTCGCCTGCACCATGGGTATCAAGCCGTTGGTGACTGCATCGGTTGACCGCCAATCCGACCAAGAATGATCAAGGAGTCCTACATGCTTGGTTAGCTACCAGTTTGAATTTAGATCGGTTTGTAGAACGGCTCACCCCATTGCTCATCATCATCCTGAATCCCTTTCCGAATATAATAGCTTCCCGCAATCACCCACACCATCCATCCGGTCTGTAGACTGGGTAGCCACTCCCTCAGACAGGACGCATACACATCTGTATATGTGATGTTATCCTGTGGGAAACCGAACTCTGTCATCTGAACTGGCATGATATTCACAATGCTCGAGTTCTGGGCGTCAAGGGCGTTGAACCCGGCATCCCATAAACTAGACTTGAGGTTCTCACAGCTTGTCGCTGTGCGCTCATAGTTATGCAGCTCGAGCACAATCTTATTAGCGTATTCGAAGTCGTCCTTATGAAACGCAGTGCCGTTCCCAAGGTCCGCACCGGTGGGTATGGGGGTGAGTCTCGTGTCATAGTCGAGACCTGAAAAGTAAATCAAGAGATTAGGATTGGCCGCATGGATCTGGTTTGCATTCTCCACCATATGGCGGTACCAATACTGCCAATTGTAGGTCCTGTTGACTAAGGCCGGATTATCCTCGGCTTTCCGGAGTTCATTTCGCATCCCGACACTTTTGACAGCGGGAAGAGATTTGACCTGAATGATCATGTCAGTAAGTATATGGGGGCTAGTGCTCTGGAGGTTTAGATACATGTTCAGCCATGTACTGCCACCCGCGGTGCCATTTAGCCACATTGAAATACTTGTCTCCAAACCAGGTGTTGCCATCGGTCCCTGAACAACACCACATGGCTTTAGAAATGTGGTTGTCCAAGTGCACATAGACCCCTTGCCGGTGTGATTCGTTCGCGACTGCGTCAAACACCTGCGATGCATTCCATTAATCGTGAAACAAGCGCCACCTTATGCGATACCTACTTGTAACCTCGTGGTATTGACACCAAACTGTGGATTATGTTGCACAATGTTGCTAAAGACTTTCGTTCCATTCTTCTCCCCCAAGGCCTTTACAAGTGAGTCTTTGATAGATACATCCCGTCCTGTTTCCAAGATATCATCGATCATCTCGATGGCAAACGTGAGGCGGACGACGTTCATCCCCAGTGTTTTGATTTTGCCAATGATATTCGCAATGGACTGATACTGCAGGCCTTCTGGTACCATGGCTTCTGAAGCACCTGGCCAGTTGACACCTGCGAAAGTCACATTCTGTCCAGTAGCATCGACAATCCAACGCCCAGAAGTTGAAAGGGGGCCTGGGATAATTGCAGAGGCAATTTGGGGAACTGCCATCCCGATCAATATGGGTAGGATGTTGAAATACATTTCGGTGCGCATGTATTGTGGAGAAGAAAAAGACGTTTGTGATGGCTTGAAGCGCCTCTTATATAATTCTTTATTCGAAAGCCTGTCTCCAGCATGGATTGGCTTGTATGTACTATGTAAGCGCTACAAAGTATTCACAGTCATGCATGCTTTGGTCACATACATGGAGAGCCAGAGGTTGAAGCAGTCCATTGGATCAAGACCGTGGACGCTGAGAGAAATAACCGGCCTCCCAGACGGAAATTATCCGATCATTTAAACGGAGCGTATTGACGATCACCTCCCGTAGGAGTAATGATGATGGTGAAATGCAACGCACGCCATCAACATCTGCAACCGTTAATTGCTAACTTTCTTGGAACTGGATCTGCATGAATACCTACTTCCAGTGGCTAAAAAACGCCAAGTGCGAGATCAGCGACAAATATCCGCGGAGGAACCCGGGTAAAAAATAGCACGCAAATTGCGGGGGTAGCTTTTGCTAATGCACAATGATGTAAAACAAAGCACCAGCCACTGCGGGGCCATCTCACGATCCAGCCTCAGACATAAACAGCATCGAGGTGGCTGTACTTGTACTCCGTACCGCATCGGACATGGCCCATTGTGGATCACTTCTGTGTCCTCTGGATACCACCGCACGAGCAATCTTTGCTGCATTCAGTGACTGAAGTCAGGTTCATATATCATGAACCTTGTAAGTACGACTCAGTTGACATAGCCTTTGCCGGACAATCGAATGGGACAGAAACATGGCTCAAAGCAGGAAGAAGAAGATGAGAGCTCAGAGCTGAGTGAACGAAAGTGGTGGATCAGTCATAAGAATTCATCTGTAGCATTAATGCACCCATGACTAATTATGCATCACATGACCTACGTCATGCACCGGGTTCTTTCCTCAGGCACCCAGCTCTTATCATGATCTTCTTATCGTTAATTTGCAGAATCCAACAAACATCATCGAGAATGACAATGCCTCTTCAGCCCCTGTCATGCACTCATTGCCGGGAGAAAAAGGTATCTGACATTAATGTTTTCCTTTCCTGGGACACAAACTAACAGACCCGGAGCGCAAATGCTCACGAGAGACTCCCACCTGTAGTCGATGTCACCAGTTCAAGCTCGACTGTGCCTATCCTTCCAGGTGGCGCGGACGACGAATAGAACGGCGTGCTCCAGGAAGCCCAGCCAACTCCAATGCCATATCGATCAATGCAAACGGGTATCTCACCTCTAAGGCGAATGGACTGCAATTATTGGATGCCTACTTTGCGCTCTTTATCCCATCGACTTTCGTCTGTCACCCTTTGCGGCTGAAAGCTCGGTATAATGATGATAGCCTTCCGAGCTGTGTGCGTGACTCTGTTTTTGCCATGGCAACTCTATTACAATCTGCAACTATGACAAGTCTAGCTAGCAACACCCGATCCACGTCAGAAGCAACACCTCTAGGAGAGACCTGGGCGCAACAAGCTAGCACAAATGTTGTTAACCAGATGAACCGGCCATCGTCGGATGTCCTTCATACCCTCTTTAACCTGATGACTTACTGGTGCGCAGTGGGTAGAACACAAAAGTGCAGGGAACATGCCAGTGAGCCAAGCGTCTAAAAGTATCACCCAACAGAGCTGTGTCGACTGATCGGTTGAACAGAAATGGCATTGGCGACCATTCGGCAACTGAAGACGCAAGGGCTGGCCTCAGTCAATAGATCCGGTCAACTCGAGCGCTCTTCCTTTTTCGTGGGTATTATCAGTCAATGCATCACGGATGACAATGAATGGGTAGCTCCGAGCACTTCATTCGCCTTAACCGGCCCGCTTCCGTCCTCCGAAGTCGATCTTCATAGTCCTATCAGGGCACATATACTGAAATTTATTCAGCACTGGTATTTTGCGTACATTCAAAAAAGAAGACAAAATCACTGAGCTCATATGCCGCTAGGATTAAAATACGTTACTTTGTTCGCGGTTTGCACGCGGATACGGACCCAGGAATGCAATGGGGGACGCTGTTCAACTTAGACGTCGAAACTAGAAGATTGTACGAGTCCCTCCCACAAAGTTTGCGTGATTTCAATGGCCAGCGATGTCTTGAAGCAGACTTTCGTGAGAGTCTGGGACTACAGACTCTTTACCATATGTGCCGGTTCGTTCCCCATATAGCCATGACTCGATTGTTCCAAAAGCAGAAGTCGCCTGCAGAGGAGTATGTACAACTATGCGCACAGATTGCAATACGACATATAAACCAGGTTTCGGATGTTATCATGAACTCCGTTACATCAGGACTGGCCTCGTTTCTAACTCTGCCACCATTCGTTGCATACTGCTCTTTCACCTCCGTTTCAGTATACTTGAGCTATCTCAATTACTGTGGTAAAAGTTGGAATGATGCCAATGATCCCACCGTTTCCCTCTTAAGAGGGAGACTCCTGTCTAATCTGTACTTCCTAAAAAAGGCCCGATGCATTTGGACTCCTGTAAGGGTTATGGTATGTGTTCTAGCCCGCATGCGGTCCTGCATGTGAACATCGACTGACATCACGATTGGATATAGTGGGAGGCAATACAGATGGATATGGCTGCTCTGGGCATCTCAAGCGCTGATGTTGAGGCCTATGGTAGATCTCCAATAAATATGTCACCCCTTTCCGATAGAGTGAACCAGAGATCACACAACTCACCCCTGGCATATGCTTTTGAGCCTCAGGTGGAAACCGAAATGATGTTCAGTTTTGCACATATCGTTGACTATGTTAAGCTGGCCGATCCTGTATATATCATAATCGGCATTCTCCGCTTATTTCAAGTCGGCAGCCAATACAGCGTGATGCCACCTTCCAGCAGGAATAGCCAAGGCACCAGGCAGACACAAGGGTTCGCTGGTAATGCTCAGCATGCCGTACAAATGTTTCCTAGCAACCCATCCTACCTACCTTCCTCTCGTCCTCATCGGTCTCTTCCCTCTCAATCCGAACAACGAACTGCGGATCCCCCAGCGCCCGAGTGCGCTTTGCAGTCTTCAATGAACAGACACGACACTGCGGACCCAGTATATCCTAGCACGCAATTAGGTGGCGCGGAGGAGAATCCAGCCTTATCTCTGGGAATGTTACAGATGATGTGGCTTGCCGACGAAGATCTTTCGTGCCTGTGAATCCAGGCTCTTCACTCCCTACTACTCTACTCATTATGCGTCTGAGAGTCTATACTCTGGATGCTTTCTTGAAAGTTATCTTAAAGTGCATTTCAGGATATCATAGGAAATGCGAAGGCCAGGCGAGGGTAATGATCCGCTGACTTTACGTGTTGTTATACACTGTCCTTTCAACCCAACCACGATCTCGTCGAGGGACGGCTGGTCCTCGGGGGAAAGATGCCTACGGATGAGGATAGTATCAGCTGGATTCTCTACCAGTATCCAGGGGCAAACTTTGCAATAGCAGGTCCTGCGGCAATACCACTGTCTTTAGGAGAGTCGCCCATTTTCCAGTAGGGCTTCTCCGTCGCACATACTGTGCGGTGCATTGCCAAGTTGGCCTTATTCAACGGGCGTGGAAACCAATTCAAATTCAGGTCTTGAATCTGCATAGATTGGAATCTCGCCCTTTTGCTCGATCAAGTCTAGCTTTCATGCAGTGAAAGGACCCATCTACTTGAGAATGACGGATGGCTGCCAAGGTCTGAGGGATCGCAGTGTTTCCATGCATCTACTGTGGGTAGACAACATCCTATCTAGCGGTGTAAAGCTTGACGGCGCCATTGCGGTGATGGGAATTTCAGTATCGCCAAAAATACGGACACAAACCCACAATTATAGTCGTTCTTAGGCGTTGGTCGCGCCAACCCGTGGGTGTGCCATCTCACTAACCTACTATCAATCTATCAACCAATCAAGATTTCATTTCCTGTCACAGTCCAGCTATTAAATGTCTCGCTATGCAGGTGCACTAAGCTACTCGTATAGTCTAGAGCACCGGAATATGTAGGATATATTAGTAACACATTGTACGTATAAACTTTAAATTTGCAGCCCTCTCTAATGTACCGTCTATAGTCCTACCCACGGGTAACACTTGCGCTAAAAGCATTGACTTTCTCAATCAAACTATTAAGGGCTACCCTGTCCACCCCTGCTATGGTGATGGAGACAGAATGAGGCTTTGGGTGTGGGTTAGTAGTCCATGAGCTGAGGATCATGCTCCCATCCTTGAATTCGTTTCGGAAAAAATCCCGGAACTCATCCCTCGAGCATCCAATGTAAACTGGATAGAGCATAGTAGCTTCTGAAAAGCCCCGTTGCATGAAGTGGCCTCGAAGACATCCCAGATGATAGGTTCCCGTGACGCGGATGTTCATGTCGAGGACTAGGAAACGTCCATCTGGGCCGATCATGAAGTCTACCCCTGCTGGACCGTAGTATCCCTTGCTGTACAGGAAACGGGCCAACTCGTCCGTGAATTCCGCATACTCCTGCTCCCGCTGTGGCTGTTCGGGATATGATATGCAACCCCCAACCCAAAGATCGTTGTCGTTAAAAAGCTGTTTGGTATAGCCGATGAAGATCCCGCGGCCTTTACACGTCACAAACAACGACAACGCCATTGTCTCTCCTTCCAGGAAGTCCTGGATAATCAGGCTACAGGGGGAAAGATGTTGATTTGTCGGGTGCACTTCTTGAATCATCTCACGTAGCTCCTCCTGGAGCACTGCTATCGCATCTTGTCGATCGGATTCGGTGCGCAGAATAAATGTTCCCTGGCCGGAGATTGATTGTGGGACCTTCACGATGAATGGGAGGTCCTTTTCGTGGACTGTACGCAGCATACGTTGAACTTCGGCGTCGACCAGACATGAATCGTGCACTTGAGAAGGGAGTAGATGGCTGTCAATCACAACGGACGGCGGAGTTGGAAGACCGGAATACGCTAGCCCTCTTTTTGATAGCAGGTTATAGTGCGCCTGCGGATCGACGACATGCGGTAGATGTGCCAGACAGTCTACGGGACTCAGAACGGCTAACCGCACATTTGGCGGCAGGACCACATCTTCTGGGCTGCGAGCAAAGCTGACTTTGGGTTGTTGGTCCGGGCTTAATTGTTTATAGACCTCCATAGTATCAATATGATGGGCGCGCAACTTTGCCGGCGGGTCTTGTCCGTTCTTCTCGTGCTCATCGAGATCGAGTTCGAATAGCACCAGAGGCATCTTCCCCGAAATGAATCCATATCGCTGAGGTATGCCCTGCAGGAGCTTTTTGGCCAAATCCTGCTTGCAAGGGTACTCCGCCAGTGGGCTCTGGTACGTGAAACCCTTCGATAAAGGCAGAGAAGATGCGGCTTGGACCCGAGGGATGGGAAAGGCAAAGGCTAGAACAACGTCCGAAGCTTTCCCGCCATCTAAAGAGTAAAGATCTTCCAATGTATAATCGAGGACGACTGGACGTGTGTGAGCGTGCATTGTTGCAGAAGGTGCCTTCTAGCTCTGAGGTTGTTTTGGGATCCGTCAGCGAAAATAAAGACATGGCTGGCAAGGGCGACAGCCGCGCGTTTTGAGATTTTCCATGGTGCTGGAAACAGCTCATACAGCGGGGTACAAATCCGTCGATCTTGCCCTTTAGATCTGGATGAACATCGCGCCCCGCCATGTTTGAGGTCATGGCTGCAGGGATACCCAAGACTGCATGGCAATCACCTCGCATAAATGGCTCAAGCGCAAGCGCAACTTCGAGAAGTGATATGCATACCCCACCCAAGAGCGGAGACATCGAACAATCGCTGCAGCCGCTGTCGACGTAACCCTATACATTTATATCACATGCACTTGGCTGAGCTCATTCTACATATGGATGCATATTCAGCCTGCATGTGGGTTATGAGCTGTCACAATGGAGTCAGCTCGTCGGGTTATATTGCATATCACACCGACGCAGTGGGTTTCGAATGAATACCACCATGAAGACTACTGTGGTTGTTTCACTTCGAAGTGACAACTAATCTGTCTGCTAGTGCCAAACCTAGTCTTAGTACTCGCATCATACATCCATATGACGAGGCGTGGTACGTAATCTTATGCAAGGTTTCGCAGGGAGAGCTTGCGAGCACTTGGATTTGGGCATACAAGGAGCGAGCCTTGCAGTGATCTATACCTGAAAAGAGACACTGATGAATGGCGTAACATCTCAATGCGATTGCTGCATTGCTCTCACATAACGACTCTGCGATGACATAGGGCTTGCGTTGACCATGCGTTTTCGACGAGATCAAAGCGATGGGCCATTTTTAGGACGATATGATGTCCTCTCGTGGATTGCGACGGGCGTCTTAGGGTTGTATTTTTTGTACGACTTGCGATGTATGTGCACGAGTGGCCGACAAGTTATCCGCAAACCGTCTCTTCCTCCTGCTCTCCGGGACAGTCTGCGTTGAAGCGAACAGGCTGGCTAGCCTTGCCACTACAGATTCCCAGGTCAGCGCAGTGGAGCTCTTGCTCTTCTTTATCCGGACATGGTCCATTCCCAATGTGTCTCTTCTCGTGTCCAAGCTGGAGTTCGTGCGACAAAGTCTGTTCCATGGCATATCCCATATCGTGCGAAATTATCAGCACAGTGCGCTATCGGCTGGCTTGGCGGGTACCATCCAAGGGGGTGAATTTGAAAGAATGTATTGAGGCCACTTGGAATGTTAATTTGTGATCTTGAGTAGTGTCGGTATTGATAAAAAGCCCCTATAGAGACACCAAGGTGGAGGATGGAGGTCGAAGAAATCCTGTGCTGCTCCTTTGAAACAAACAGCAAATCATACAATGTGTTCTGTAGGGAGAAAGGAGAATACTGCCTGGGGCCATCTCGCCTGCTCTTGAGGTCGCTCCTGGAGCTCCAGCTCCTCCTCTATCTGGCCACCCTGCTCCACTGCTGGGCCTGCCGCTCCTGGGGTCCCTAAGGCTGGCTCACCACCGGGCCCAGTTCTCCCGTAGGAGTATTGGCCAGCACGATTAAGGGGGGCGATCTTTGGCGACCTTTCCTGAAGGGACCGCAGTGCATGGAGACAAATACAATTGATACAAAGAATACCGAGTCATACTTTAGAGAAGGAATTTGCCTTCTGCATGAAAGGAAGCGAAGCGCAACTAGTACATATCGCAGTGCTAAACTCTACATATCAACCGGAGCATTGTCAAGTGCCCATAATAATACCTCCGCATAGCAGCGCTGGCCCTCTATGAGCCATAATGATGCTTGTTGGGGGAGATTGACGACAGTAACGCAATATCAGGTACAAACGCTGTTTTGATTTAGCAAGCAAGAGGGGACAAGAACGGTAAGAAGAAGCAGAAGAGACAAGAAATATATAAAGAAATAAAGAAATAAAAAAAAGACGAAGGAAGGAAAAGAGATTGAAGAAAGAAAAAAAA